TTTTTAATGGAGGAGAACATAAAACACTTAACTCAATATTATCATCGTCAGGTGTAACATGTATGTTTGTTCTAATTCTGGTAATTTGTCATTTAAATTCACATTTAGTTAAGACCACTATTCTGTTTCATAAATACATTTATAAAACAGTGGCTGCCAATATGCAGACTCTTTTTGTTTCCCCCCTCTGCAGTCTTTTCCTGTGGTTCAGTCCACTAGGTCGTCAGCGCCCAGCCTTGCCCATAGTTGTGTGTTGCAGTAGTGGGATGTGACTGTGCTCACGTACAGCAGTGGTCTGCCCCTCTGCTGTTACATCATCAGCAAGGAGACCCAGTGAAAAGAGCCTGCTGGTATACGGGTCTGCCTGGAATCCCCCACTGTGATGCATTCGATTCGTTTTTTCAGAGAGGCTCAATGATCGTGTCTTGAGGCGCAGTTGTACCACCCATAGATTCAGGTTATGTATTTGTTCCCGTAGGTAGATTTGGTTTGCAGATAAAGGAAAAGGGATCCATTACGACACACATTCTAAAACAACAGCTGACAAATGTCCTGCAGCAATAAAAAAATGTGCCATCTTCTGTCTATTTTCCAGCTCTCCTCCCTTTACGCACACATCAGCCTTTGCAGTTTTTGCTTTTCAAGATGGCAAAATGTTCTTTTGTTTGTTTTGTAACTGACTTGAAAAATGTATTGCCGAACAGACACCCTTCTGGGTCTAGATTAGCATCTTTTCCCACGTTTGCACTTCCTTTTAAGTCTCAGCAATTCAGAACAGGTCTAGAAGGAATCCTATAAGGTTGACAGGGTTCGTCCCTTAAAGAGATATCAGTCACCCTGTCGCTCTGCCAAAGAACCAACCAGTGAGAGTGTTCTTTGTTGAAGAGCACTTCACTTTATAATTTAAACAAAGGGAACCTGATCTCTCTGCTGGGTGTTTTGTACTCCAGGCCGTAGTAGTCATTTTATTCTTTAAGTTATTGCGTAAAATGTACCTAGGGATAATGGTACCTTCTATCAACTACTTTCACATCCTTCTTATATTTAATCTATTTCACGATTGTTTTACATTAAGTTCTACTTGTGTTATCATAATCCTTCATTTGTATTTCTCATTTGACCATCTTTTTTTAATTGTAAAATACTCTCGTTGTCCTTGTTTTGGGAAATTGCCTTATACGTCTAAAATGTATGATCGTATATAATATTATGTACTGTATTCTCACAATGTATTGTTGATGGGATCTATGGAGTGTGAGAAGAACAGGAGGGGGATAGAGTGCACATCTAATCCCACTTGGGTAGATGTGGATCATTGATGATGCAGTAGAGACTTGTAGGTATTCTGCCCACTGAATTTCCACTCTTATCTCACGAGTATCAATAGAAGCAAGATGTTGTCCAGAAAGGTTTCACTTAAAGTAAATTAAAATAAAACGGTGGCACTTTCTCCCCACCTCACGAGGATCCAGTACTTGAATCAAACACGTTTCTGCTTGCTATCAAATCCCCAGCCTGTCAGATGGCCTGTTATGTGACCACAACATAACAGGCCGTAGTAGAAGCAACATTCCTCATCAGAGTATTCCTGCTACTCCCCGAATACACCTAGCTTTATTGCTACCAGTTGAGACATACCCCAACGTTAATGCGTTTATGGAGTGCTCATAATTATGCCAGGAAGACAAAAGGGAAAAAGGAAAGTGTTAAAGCAAGGCTTTAAGCACCCGGTTTGCACATGACAGTATTGAGACATTTCACAAGGGCACAGGATACGATGTAATATCTCTTCTGTGCTACGGTGCACAGTACTATTTTGTTCCTGTTCTGGTTGAAAAGGAATGATGAAAGCTTGGCAGGTCAAGCCCTGTAGCTGTGCTTCGTGCTGGTGTCGTTGCCATGGGTGACTCAGCAAAAAGTGGATGGGAACAGCATGTACGATCAGCTATACTGCTCCACTTGCATGATCATGGCAGCAGTGAGGTGCAATGCAGAAGAATTAACACATCCTTTGGCGATTCATATCCACATTCAGAAGATGGGTGTTTCCCTCAGGTGTCATATTCATACGTGTATTCACTGTAGAAGATGATCTTGTGCAAATTAGCTTAAAAAAACACTTTTTAATTTTACAAAAATTCCAGTGGCAACCTTTCATCAGCCTCATTAGTCTGTATTGTGCTGTCTTGGTGGCTGCAGTAAGTAAAAAAAAATAGACATGCTGGAGGTGAATAACAACCATTGTTAGCCCTGTAGTACGTCAGCAAGCAACGTGATCATTTGATTATCCTTTCACTTTACTATCACAAGGTTAGCTTCAAATCAGGATTAAGTGCGGTCAGTGTGTTGAGAAGGAAAGTCAGCGGGGGGGATCCGGTGCCAATACTTTCTGGCCAGGGTGACCTCGGTGGGAATTAAATCCCTCACCCGAGATCTCTCAATCCACTGAGTTATCCTAGAGTTGACCACAGTGAATTTGTGCTTGCTACAAACCCAACTGTTTCATGTAACACAATTTAACCAGCAATGGTTTAAAAGTAATATTCTGTTTTTAACTTTTGGAAGGATTTCAGTATTCCTGACCTGGTCCAACCAAAGAAAGATGTAGAAGATAACAGTCTCCTTTTTTATATATTAACTATTTTCTCAATTTTTCTTTTGGGCAGGACTCCTAAGTTTGCACCAGTGAACACCATGCCTCAATCAAAGAACGTAGACCTGGGCTCTGCCTTCATCCAGACGCAGCAGCTCAACGCTGCCATGGCCGACACCTTCCTGGAACACATGTGCCTGCTGGACATCGACTCCGAGCCCACCACCGCTCGCAACACTGGCATCATCTGCACCATCGGTTAGTGAACATGTATGGTGGCTATCAGGGCTGCAACGTGACAGCTTGATAGTAGCATTTCTTTTCAGGAATAGTTTATTACTGTTATTGGGTTAATTATAAGGTTTTAAAAGTTATGAGGTTGAATGTTACCTTAATTGTTTCTCTTCGATGCCTGCCTGCAGGGCCAGCCTCCCGCTCTGTGAGTATGCTGCAGGAGATGATCAAGTCTGGCATGAACATTGCTCGTCTGAACTTCTCCCATGGCACACATGAGGTGGGTCTTAACTTAACTCTTAACATTGTTAAAAGTCACGTTTAAACAGTGCTGATCATTTCCACCCAGGTGTGATGTAGCAGCAGTGTTGGTAACTCTTTGCATTAAAAAGCTCTGGTGCCGGTCAACAATGTCATTTATTTTTATAATGTCATCCGAATCAGCTCGGCACCCTAAGAAAGATTAGGTCAGCAAGCATGCATATAACTTGCATAAGATTACAGTCTGGGTTTACTAACTAGGTCATCTCAAAGTGTCACAAAATGGCACATGCTCTGTTTAGTATTTACACTGTATTGGATATATTGGAGGACAGATGTATAAAGAGGCTGAGACAAGCTGCTCCACTCACTTGAAAGCATCCAGTGGAATGATTTGTGCACAATAAGATCTGAGCCAAAGTTAACTTTGAAGTTAAAATGTTGAAGCAAACGATGAGTGAGGCTGTTTGACATTTGAACGTTTGCATAGTGTCAATTTAATCAGTTGTCATTTAACATTATCTTTAGATGACCTTGTAGATTAAGAATCCGCAAGATGCAATAATTCATTTTTAGCTCTTCAATTAAAAAAATGTAAGTTTCCTGCAGTAAAATCATTTTTAGAAGATATGTTTTATTCCTACTGAAAACTAAATATGAAAAGTATCCGAGTTATTTCAATAAAATCAAAGGTTAGTGAAATAAATCAGAGCTTTGTTGGCTTTGGGTGCTATATGTCAACTGTAGCTTCCTGCCCTGCCCTTGTGTACCTTTATCTCCTCAGCAGGGAGCACACCTAGACTCTGTAAATGTGTATGTGTACACAACCAAGGTCAGTCCACTGTAAAGCAAAGAAGGAAGTGGAAAGTGCTCCTGTTGCAAGTCTTATTCTTTTCACTACCAGTAATGCTGATATAGAAACTAGCTGAACATTAACTGGAGTTTCACTTTCGTTGTGTAGAAAATAAAGTAAACTGTCTTGACCCTGACCTACACTCATGCATACAGTCAGCTGATCCTCATTCACATTGGTCTTAAAACATTACCCTGCATTCATCTCTAGCACAAACGCTTTGTGGCATTTCAAATCCTGTTGCCTCAGACTGTGTGAGAATAAATGTTAATTGCAGCTATAAGTGTTTTGGCAACTGCGTTAAGGTCTAACTTTGGATAATTATAACGTTTGTATTTCTTTAATGGTAGTTGGTGAGACCATCCAGGCTTTCTTTTAGTGGCAGTGAGTGTAGCATTAGCTCAATGTGTTGCCAGCGTGGAAGGCAGCCAATGTGATTACCTGCCACTTAAGTTATTACTGAAAGCTCTGGTTACACAGGTGGGCATTTTAAGCCATGAAGGAGAGGCTGTCTTTAAAGTCACAGACAATGCGCTACATAATCATTAGCCTGTACTAAAGGGACAAGATGGCTGCAGCAGTAATGTGACACAACTGGCTTACTATAAAGTTCTCTTCCATCTATACACACTTCAGGCAAAACACATTTCAATCAAGGGCACAATCAATGAAATTCAATATCCTTAACCTAAGGTCTCTTGGTTATTGTGCAATAAGATTCCTCAGTGAAACATAAGCTGTCAGTCTGGGTGGTATAAAAAGGACCGTATGACCCCGTAGTGATGCTCACAGTATGACTCATGTTTATGACTGGACGAGTTGTCAGACACACCTTCTCTTTCAGTTTCCCTGGCCTCATTTGTATGTCTGGTGTATAAAACGTATTCAATCAATCTCAATTACCAGTGCCTCTGATACGTTTTAATTTCATTGTTTGCGATAGGATAAGAAAATGGATTAGAGGTGATAGGTGTGATCACAATACATCACTGTGCTGTTCATTAGCTTGCTTATTGTTATATTGTAACATGTTATACTTGTCTTCCTTTCTGTAGTACCATGCACAGACCATTAAGAACATTCGTGAGGCATGTGGGAGCTTCGAGCCTGGCAGCATCCAATACAGGCCCATTGGCATCGCCCTGGACACCAAGGGCCCAGAGATCAGGACCGGCCTCATCAAGGGAGTGAGTATTGTTGTAGTCCCTTTTTTTTTTTAAAGGTCACCTATTATGCAAAATCCAATTTTTCCTGTTTTTATACATACCGTATTTTCCGGACTACAAGTCGCACCTGAGTATAAGTTGCTTTTTGTCAAAAAACGTGTCGTTAAGAGAAAATAAAACATAAATAAGTCGCTTTTATCCACTGTAGTCTTCATCCTCTGTGTCGCTGTGAAGGTCTCACCGTCACCGAGCTAGCTATCCATCCAGTTAAACCCTTTCAAAGAGACTCCGGCACAGAGGTCAGCTTTACTGAAGTTTAATGAATTGGTGAAACTGTGAACACAATCCAGACATGGCAACCTGTTATTAACTGCCCGACTGACGAGCTGAATAAACTAAATAATCCACGCAATGAGCGACGGCACATAATACTGATACGCTAATTAGCCTAGCCGCTAATTAGCTTAGCCACTCGGAATTCTCACTATTATTTATACTGTCGCTGTTAAACACTTCCGCCAACTCCGGTGTGGATGAAGCAGCACGTCCTGCTCCGGGCTGTCCTCAGACTCTCCATCAGAATCAGCTCCGATCAGACCTTTCTGAATCCCGACAGGATGGTGTCGGTCGTCAGTGAAGCCCGTGCTGTGTCGATCCATCCCACAACATCCTGGAAAGTTACATGACGCATCCTCCCAGTTGCCGTGACTTTTTTCTTCTTCGGTGGTACAGCAGTTTTCAGTTATCACGATTGTGTAGGGAGGATGTGGACTAGTGCGTTTGTGTTGGGGTCAGGGGGGGCACAGGTTCAAACTAGGGCTGCAACTAACGATTATTTTGGTAGTCGACTAATCGGTCGATTATTTTTTCGATTAGTCGACTAATCTAACGATTATTTTAAGTTTGGAATTAATTACAGCGTCCATAAAGCTCTAGTGTGCTCTACTACGCTGTAAGCTTGGCGCTGTTTAGCAGCTCGTTGGTGGACACGCAGCCTCAACATAACTGAAATGGCGTTTGCTTAGCAAGCATTAACCATGAGACGTTCTGTTTTCCAACATGTAAGCTAACGTAAACATGACTATGGCTAACTTGCTCAAACTTACCCATGATCCAAAGTAGCAGTCCTCACGGTTCCAGGGTGCTTGCGTTTTAAATGCTCGTGCATCACTGTAGTGCTGCCGTGGAATGCCAATTCCCCTTTACAAATTCTGCATTTCACTGACTTCTTTGGCTT